AAATTTCAGTCGAATCCATTGCATTCACTTACTTACTAATATCCTTGGGAAAGGTATGAATCCCCTCTCCCCCACACCATAGCATAGCAGGACAGCTATTGGATGGCAATTGGTCTTCCCGCAAAAAGAAAAGGTAACAAACTCCGGGAAAAATCTGCCTCGTCAGTCATGTATCAAAAGATACATGATCGCCTAAGCGTGTAGCACGCATGGCAGATAACTGACTGACCCAGTAACGTCTACAAGCTCACGTTTTGTCTAAGATGGTCAACGAAGATATTTAATTTGCTGATTTAGATTGAATAAGTTGTTATACTTATTTTTAGTTGTTATAAACCACGTATGGGATACACTTGGGGATTTTACCACCGGTGACAGTAGGAAAATACCGAACAATGTTTAAATCCAATTTAAAGCCAAGACGCCAAATATTGACTTACAAGACAAGACCTTCTCTGAAGATTGTTTTTCGCCAATCTTTTAATCTCATTTGCCCTTGTGTGTAATTCGACTAAGGTTAGTAAAGTATCTATTGATAAGGACGGAGATGATGATGATGATTATAGCAGTAGTAGTAGTAATAGTCGTCGTATTCCTAGTCTAAATGTTGTTTGTAATTGTGACTGTTGAAAGTGTAGGTTTCTTTTTATATATACAGAAGAAAAATCTCAACCTGACAGGTCGACAACAAATTTAGATTGATTGATAAATCAGTTCATTGATTGATAAATAAGTTCAAAATGTTGTCACGTCACGTTGAGATCTCAATCAACAAACACGCAGGATTTTATTGCCAATATAATACATGTGGAGCTAGTTTATATATATCTCATACACACACAAATTAATCGAGAAAGAGGGAGTCATCCTACACATAGGTATATTTTTTCTATACCCGTGCCAGTGCATTAGTGGAGAATAGGAAAATTGTTTTGTAGGAATCTTTCATCGGCGCTGGCCAGAACATACACACGCGGGATTTGCTTAAGTGTAATTATCTATATTAAATAACAAGGCTAAGTCAAATATAAAATAAATCGACCACTGCATTTAAAAAAAACTCTATAATAAAAACGAAAAAGAAAACTACAGGAGCTCCTAAGAGAATGTAATAGAAGAAACCTTCAAGATAACAGGACTTGCGAAAAATATTTCTTGAAAGCCATTGCCCTGCGTTTAAATTCAGTTTAAATTTATAATTAAAATTTAAAACCGAACTTTCCGAAAACAAAATTTTCCTTGTTTACATTTTAACTATCTATTTTACATCCTTATCTTTGCTGATATCGTGAAGATACGACCGTTTTATCCTCAGGCCTTCTTCAGGCGTATGAAGGGCCGCATAACCTACAGGAAATTTCGAATTGAACCGTTTGTTTCATCTAGATTTTTCTCTGTCCATATTTAGGGATATCTCGTATTATTCTTATTTTTGTACTGCCCAGTTATTGAATAAAAGGTTCAGTTTAAAATTCTCTGAATGTTACCAGGACCGAAATACCCCTGAAGTAGGCCAGAGGACACAACAGTTGAAACGTTGTGATAATAAGGATGAAGACGTTATGTTAATAATGATAACTCCTCATTTAATAAATTCAGAAACGGTATTTTCCTACTTTTAAATTAAAATTGGTTTAATAATGGCCATTCATTGATCCTTTCCATTGTTTGTGTTTTTTGTTTGTTTGTTTTTTTTTAATTAAAATTATCTTCATAATGTTTTAAACAACATTATCCATACCCTAATTATCCTAGGACTAATTAAGAAGCCCACATTTTGTGTAGTTTAACACCAGTAAAGACTGGCGTTAATTTATCTAAAATTTGATCTGATTGCAGTTTAACATCACTCCTTATGGGTCATTTAATGCCGAAATTTAATTTTCTTGAGAGCTTTGAAGTAATAAAAATATAATGTGTGTTATTCTGCTTTCACAATTGAATACATGGTAGATGATACTCAACTTTTGTGCATATATATATATGTTTGTGTGTACATAATTACTAGAAGTGGTGATATATGTGTTTTATGTTATAGATTTGTTGAAGTTATTTTGGAATACAGTTTGATTTCTTTCATAAATTGGAGGATAATATGGATTAATGTCATGAAAGTTCTTTCATGTTGATTGATGTATTGTTGGTAATTTTATTATAAATAAGTATTGTTATATATATATATATATATATATATATATATATATATATATATATATATTTTTTGCTTGTAGGTTTACTATAAAAATATACTTTTATACTGTCATAGTGCTTTGTTTTGGTTTGGGGAGTTCACTATTTACCCATAGCTGGGACCCTAATATGTGCTACCAGCCCGAGTCAGAGTGAATCTGGAAACAGCAGCAATTAACAGGTGGTTTCAGGACTATAATTTATCTAAAAGATATCTATGCGTGTATATTTCAAATATAGAGTTTAGACAAGCAGATTGCGATTTTCTGAGGTTCAATTTTGAGCCATGGTTCTACAAAGATTGCCAAATTGATTAATTTGATTTTTAAGCCTTATCAGCCTTTTGTAGGTTATTTAAAACCAGAAGAATCTTTTACATTTTAAGATTTTTTTAGGAGATAAAGATTTAATGATAAAAATCTTATTTAAATTATTCGGACTTTCGTCCTCATCTTCGTCGCCATATGTCCTCAAGGACACATGGCACAGTTGATAAAGGCGTTGGTTAGATCCAATGACAGGACCCAAAGAGTGTGAGTTCAAACCCGTTTAAGACAGTAGAGAACTTGGAGAGGGGAATTAACAGGCGATAACTGATAACTGACATCCATTAAGCATGGCACGTGGAACTAGAATAGTCTACCGCAGTGAGCGAAATAAAGGGTTCAGTTCGACATTCCAACCACCTGAAGAAGGCCGGAGCGTACAACGGCCGAAACGTTGTAATAAATATGGCGACAAAGATGAGGACAATAGTCCGAATAATGTAAATAGTGTACATAATCCCTCATCTCAGAAATATAGACAGATACTGAAGTTTTATTTAACCCAACCTGGGCGGGGATTCATAGTTTTCTGAAGGGCATCTGCACCTAATTCAATATAAAGAACACGACTAGAATTGAAATTTGGCTCTTATTTAGAATTCCGATCCTTTATCCATCACACTATCCGTATATCCATACTTACAGCACCTGGTAATTTCAATCGGTTACCCATCTAGATACTAACTAGCCTTAAATTTGCTTAACTTCATTGATCGGACGTTGAAAGTTCAGAAATAGCTCTGGACTTTCAATAGTAGTACAATGTGGCAACTCCTGGTTTCGAGGAAAGCTTATTATACCAACATTTAAAGTTTTGTTTTATTTACAGTGTAACCAAAACATTTTAAGAGTAGGCAGTCTAGTCTTTTTAAAACCTCTATTTATAGGAATAAACTATCACTAGAAACAAAAAAAAAAAAAAACTAAGCCGTTGCGTGTTTAAAAAGAAACATAATAGCCATAGATAAGATAACACAATATACAACTTTGTATGGAATAGCAACAGAAAGAAAGCAAATTGCAACTAATAAGGACAATGAAATCATCTGAATTTACTTGCAATACTGTATTGGCAACCTGCAAGATGGCGCCTAATCGCCTGAAGCTGCAGAATCAAGCAGGAAATAAAACTATGAAAAGAAGATTGAGGGAGGTAATGTGTCGCCATCAGTCAAATCTATTCCTATATTTTTTTTCTTCTTTTATTGAGAATCCTCCAGCATTTTTGTTTAAACTAATGATTGCGTCTTGACGTGGCCGTATTTGCATTTTTTTCATCTCGATGTGTTTAATTTAGCTCTTTTTCTTCTTTTTTACTTTCTTTTCTTTTCAGTTTATATCTTCCTCATTTTTTTTTTTTTACATTCTTTTATTTTTTTTTTTTTTCATTTTGTTACCACAGAGACTTTACGTCACAAATACGTCATCACTGTTTAGTATAAAAAGAAAAGTAGATAGGCGTATTTGCAGGACGGGAAGAACACATTTGTGGAGAAAAATAAAGGCACTAAAGACAGAAGAAGGAAGAAATAAATGCATTAAATAAAGAGGGGAAGAAAGACATTAAAAACAGGGAAAGCGAGAGAAAAAAAACATTAAAGGAAGAGGGAGAAATGGAAAGAGAGGCATTAAAGGAAGAGGGAGAAGTGGAAAGAGAGGCATTAAAGAAAGAAGAAGATGGGGAAAGAGAGGCATTAAAGAAAGAGGGAGATGGGGAAAAAGCGTTAAAAACAGAGAGAGATCGGAAGAAAAATGCGAATCATTAAAAGGTAGCAGATGTGTTTGTGTTTGCCCAAAACACTACCAACACGGAGATTATATCTGTTTCATGTGGGTTATTACAGAAAAAAACGGACAAAAATCACCTTTAAAATGAAATGCTGAATTTCAGCAGTGGTAACTATGTAAAAGGATGGCAGAACAAGGACTACAAAGGCAAAGATAGGAAATAAGTCTTAAAAGTTATTTAGAACAACAATAGTCGAGAAATTTTTAAAGAATCATGACCGGCCAAGTTCTAAAAGAACATGAAAGATGCTCTGGACAACTGAGATGGGCGACAAGCCCTTGGAGATTTCAGATTAGTTGTCATTTCTGCAGTCGGCTAAGTGTTATTTAAGAGATGGTCTGTGTGTGGATCTTATTTGAACGCTGTTGAAAGACGAAGAAAATAAAGACTGTTAACCATGGTGGATTTTCGATTGTTGTATCAGATGAGAGCACAGGGTGTTTAAAGATGTTGATGGGTTGAAGCGGAAAGCATCAATTCCGAGAGATTCAAATTCATTATGCGGGTGAGAAATCTGCCAATATTTTCCTTCCAGGCAATAGAGAAAAGATCTTTTGAAAATCACAGATCTGTTGACTATCATAAAAAAGTCTTGCATGTTGATAAAGAAAGAGTTCAGGGGGAAGAAAACAAGGATGTGTTTTCTCACCAGATTTATTTATCATATAGAGCGAGACAATCTAAGAGGGACTTAAGGTCACATCATGTTGAAACACCGGTCCTCGTGCGATCACCGAAGTTAAGCAACGTTTATCTTGGTCAGTACCTAGATTGGTAACCGCTTGGGAATATCAAGTGCTGTCAGCTTGGATGTGCAGATGGGGTAATGGATAACGGCTCGGAATGAGAAATCTGAGAACGGAGTTCTAATTCGTTGCATTCACTTACACAAGGTATGAATCCACTTCTCCCCAAGCTATAGGTTAAATAATAGGACTTGTCTCTAAAAATATCCTCCAAAAATTATTAATATTATATTTTATATTACCTAGCAAAAAATAAAATAAAATAAAAATTATTCTTACAGTCCAAAAACATATTTCTCAGACTTTAATCTACAAAGAGTTCTAAAATGCTGTGTTACATGTAATATCTTAATCCCAGTGAATACTGGAGAACATCTTTACAAATGAAGAAAAATCCGCCGGCAGAATCTAATCCAAGAATGTCATGGACAGAGCATATGAGCAAAGAGAAAGTCTTCGGGGGAAAAAGGAAGCTTATAGACAATCAAAAAAGGTGTTATAAATCAAATTATGAGGAAAAAGTGTTTGGAAAATTTCACTCACAGAACATACTGAAGACGAGAGAAATAAAAACAAGAAACCGACTTAGCGAGTTTGTCGGAATGAATGACAGAACATGGATAAAGTGAGATTCTAAGGAGCCAAAGGCCACTTTATAGTATGCTCATTGGCCCCACTTATTTCTGTCCCTATTTTTCTTTATGTTTAATTCCCGATCTACTCCCTCGTTAGATGGTCAGTGATGTCAGTTCGCTGGTGGATGTGGGGCGCCTTTCGTTTCGCGTGAGGGTTTTTTCGTATTTGTTATGTCAGTGTGAGTGCTTGGGATGAATGAATGTTTTATAGTCCCGCATTGATTTCGGCCAGTGAACTGATGTTTCTTCCACATTTAGTGATTGTGGGGGGTTTTATTACTAATATTATTTTCTTTAGTTTCTTGTAAATAGTTTTGTATTCATATTTGTAAATACTCATTGGGGCTAGTTTTTAAAATTGTTTTATTCCCCTCCCCCCACAGACAATGAATTATAAATATGGGGACTAGTTAGTATTTTCATAGAAACAAAGAGGTATTATGGTGATTGTAGTAAGAAAGGTACATATGAATGTGTTGTTTTGATGCAAGGAATATTGTTTGTGCGACTGGGTCAGCGATTGTGGCTAGCTAAGTTATAGTTAAGACAGAAGAAGACCGTCCTTCCCCACCCCCCTTCGGCCATGTGCCACATTTCTGTATTAAACTGAATAAGTATCACTTTATAGCAACGAAATATATAAAGTGGGAGAAAAACTAGGTTCACACACATTTTGAAAAGACTTGAGACATAAGACGCTTAATTAATAACAGGAGATTAACTTGTGATTGAAAAAAGCAAAGCATCTTGAAAATATTGTCCAATCTATTTGATTAACATGTTTTTAAAAAAGATAGATCTTATCTATTTGAAAGTGTGAAAAGCAAAAAAAAAAAAAAAGTCTAAAACATTAGTTTTTATATATAATAAATCTGGAATTGCATTGATCGTTGAATTTGAAAAAAAAAAAAAAAAAGTTGTCTATTTACTTGTCATGTCCGTCTAGATCAGTCATGTAGTTCCTTTGTCTTTCTGAATAACGTTTATAAAAATTTTGTTCGTTTTCTTTCATTCTCACGTGTTCACTCACACTATCTCGCATTCATACATAACATACCTAATGATTCAATACAAGGTTTGATTTTTGTAACCATTCGTTGACGATAACGTTTTCAACCATTGGTGATTCTCACTAAAGAACATCATACGTGTAACTATCTTATGCTTTAGAAACAGGAAACGTTCATTTTTTTCCTTTTCTAATATTATATTTCAAAAGAATTAATTAGAAACAAATTACATGCAGTGGCGTGTATTAATCACACTGTCGTCAGTGACAATATTATAGCAAGATTTTTTTTTTTTTTTACTTATAGAAAAAAAAAAAATCAACTTCCCCCATTTCTAAGGCAGGTGATTGCGCGTATGTACTTCTATGGTGAATAATCGCCGAGGTAGCATCAACGAAAAGTTACTTTGAAAGTTTTTTGTAGTGCGACCCGCCTTATGATGAGCCATATATCATGCGACCTACAGCTCAGGAAAGGTTACTCATGCCTGATATAGATCTACAATCTTTAATTTCTTTTATTATTTAATAAAAATCTGTTTAATTATAAACAAAACGTGTCGGTTTAATTTTATCATGTGTAGCCAGGTATCATATCTACATACCAGGAACCAAATACCCACTTCAGGCATCGGAAGCAACATTATGGTAGGTTTAGTGCTCAAACAAGAACTTTGTTTTGTTTTTAATACTTCTTTAATGTATGCGACTACAATCCACGACATAGGGGATAACCAATTGTTAAAGATGGAAGCTGTGATTACACCATTCTATATTCAGTATATATGAGAGTACATGGTAGAAAACAATACAGGGATCTCCACGGATTTGCCTACTAAAAGTGGTATGACACCTTGTGAAGAAAGTGAAGTTCGGGTGGGTGTTGGTATGACTGTCATTGAGGATATATCATTTATTATTTAATCAGGTGTTCATCCGTTCAGCCACTATTACCAACTGCATGCAGTCATCAGGCGACCGGTAGTGTTTTTTGGCGATATTGGCACTTATACACTCTCGGCTGATTCACGATATCAAAGTAAAATCGTCGGGATATATATATATATATATATATATATATTATATTATATATATATATTAGGGCAACTTTTTAATTTTATTAATATATATATAAAAATATAGTTTTAAGGTATGCTGTATTTATAAGAAAAAGTGCTCAGTATCAGAGGTGAAAATATGTATGTAAATATAAAAGTGAACATTGAAGTCAGAGGCGACAGACTGTTTTATGCTAAACGCAATCATCAGGCCATATTCAGTCTACATTTTGGTCATATATATATATATATATATATATATATATATATATATATATATATATATATAATGCCATATTTTATAATGACCAAAATGTAGTCTGTGGGAAAAAAAAATTATCTAATATAAACTTATAAAATTAAGAGCTAGATCCAAAATTGACATCCTGGGCACCTCGGCGTGGTGTAATGGTTAGCAAGCTTGTCTCTCTAAAACTGTTACGATTGAATAGCGAGTTTGGTCCTCATTGGGTGCCCCATACTTTCGGCCTTGTGCCACATCTAAGAAACGCTTAGAAAATCAATAGGGTACCTCTAAGTGGTGTAATGGTTAGCAAGCTTGTCTCGCTCAGAACTATTGCGACTGAGTAGTGAGTTCGATCATCACTGGGAACCCCCATACTTTCGGCCTTGTGCCACATCTGAGCTATACTTGGAAAATCACTACAAAATTGACATCCTAAACTTATCAAGATTCGAACGCCTATGGATAGATTTTCATTCAGGTGGGTTAGTATCTAGACTTACTACACCCCAACAGAAAATTAGAAATCCTTAAAATCAAGAAATAGGTCTGCGTGAATGTCCAAGACTATTGTTTCGGAACTACAGTTTTTAATAATTGTAGTTTCAAGTTTGTAAACGGACAACTCTCAGTAATGCGCGCAACTGCGTCGATCGACCACGCCACTTTACAAATAAAGTCCACTCTTTCGAGAGCCATTGTATCTAGACTTTTACCACTGCTATCCGGAGTCGCAATGTCCCAATCCTTCGACGACGCGTAGATACTTCTAATCGTAAGCACAGCCAATCAGAATTAAATAAATATTAGCCTTCACTCCGGTTTTGTAATTAACTGATGCTAACTTCTCAAAGCAAAACCCTCAACGGGAAAGACTTCTGGAAGAATGGCTGTCACTAGTATGTTCTTCAAATTGAGTACTAAAAAGTACATAAGAAAATTAGTAGGTTGGCATGGATTTACTAAGCTAATATTAGTTTGCTTACAAGCTACTTTTTCAGAAAACCAAAGTACAACCATATTGATGGGTATATGAAAAACGGTTTCCCAATCGTAATTCTCAATTTATATACAAAAATGTTCACCCTGCACAAGGCACAAGAGCCCTTCAATATAGGGGATTACATAGTAAGAGGCATCACTCCAAGCAAGATGATAATGCCACCAAGACTGAAGAGGCCATTGGAAGTGACAGGTAAGGAGATTTTAGAAGGAACTGGAAACCCAATCCTAAATATGAAATAAGGCATAAACCTCTACTCCTTTTCAAAAGATATATTGATTATCATTAAGCCTGTTGCATTACTCATCATTGACGTTTTTCGTCTATTTCTGCGTCATTGAATTGGTGTACCGACGAAAACTGAAAAGATTTTTGTATGTGATATTATATATTTTTAAGAATATAACATTTATAAATACCTATAGTTATTAGGATAGAGTTTTGTTTTGTTTTTTTATATTTTAAAATCATTTTCTTTTTGAAAAATGTCTTATTTAATTTGTTATATTTTTAGATGATTAAACTTTTTACAATCTAAAAAGTATATGGTAGCTTTATATTACGATAAAGATATATCTCAAATACGGGAGGAATGTTATATTATATAAAGTGGACACTGAGGTCAACACCCAGCAGCGACAGTGTTTCATGATTGAACGCAATCTTCAGGCCAATGTGTTGCATTATTAGTAGCAATGTCTATTGTATTATCCTAACGGTTATTGGGTAGCTAGTAAAGACTATGTTTCAAATTATTTTAGAGAATATTCAGTAGGAAATAATTGAATTAGAATCCCATTATTTGTAGCTGTTTTATAATGTTTGTTAACCTATAATAATTATTATTGACTAGCAGTAGAACCCGGCGTTGCCCGGGGATGTAACAGTAAGAGATAGATCAAGTATCGACCATCATAAAGACTGAAAAATAAAATTAACAAAGATTATTGTTTAAGGTTGACGGACACGCATGTCTTAATTAGTTTTATTTTTTTGTTTTGTTTTGTTTTACGAATTGGTCAAACCCAAACAAAAACATTGTTTTCAATCGTTATGAATCTACCGATTGAATAGAATTTTATTATAAACAATTGTCTTGTAAATGGAATT